TAACTGCTGTGTTGTCCAGGTTAGCCTGAGCTCTTGGCTCAAGTCATCTCCCTGCCTCAGCTTCTCCAGAAAGCTGGGACTCCAGTTGCCTGCCACCACACAGGCAAAACAGATAATCTTAAAAATTAAGCTTTTAGAAGGTGTTAATTTTAATTGACAAATAACAATTGCATATATTTATGGGCATAATGTAATGTTTTGACACATTAACACTATGAAATGGTAAATTCAGGGTAATTAACGTCTGTTGTTTGAAATACTTATCATTTCTTTGTGGTAGGTAACTCACGTGAAATCCTCTCTTTTATCTATTTTGAAATATACATTATTCACTGTGGTCACCTGACGGTGCAACTGAATAGAATTTAGTCCTGTGTAACGTAACTTCATATCCGCTGCCCAACATCACCCCTCACCTTGTTCCCTTTCCTGTCACCTCTGGTAACCACCTTTCTGCTCCCTGCTTCTTTGAGTTCACTTTGTTAGATTTCGTGTGTAAGGGAGATCATACGGTATTCGTCTCTCTGTACCTGACCTGTAAAGTTCTGTCAGATTTTTTTCTGTCCTACATTACCAGAAGTGAACTGACATATAACACCTCATTCTCTGTGAGGGTTAATAATCACACACCTTCAGAGTACACTTTCCTCAGTGGGAAGAGCCATGTGGAAAGCATCTTTCATCTCCTTTAGGTAAGGCTTTGTTAATACCTCTCAGAGGTCCTAGGCAAATGCTCCGCACACAGGGGCTCCGCTCAGCAAATTTATTGAGCACTCTTTTAGTAAGAAAGAAAGAGGGACCTGGTTCCTCTTGTCCCTTTGAGAGAACAGGTCTTTTCATTTTGGAGTAAGGTTTTCCTTCGATTGGGAGTGACTGATGCTGTGCAAGTAATTAAGAGTCAACTTGGAAAGGTTTAAAACTGTCAGTCATTTTGATATTGGATAGGATATAAAAATGAGTAAGTACCATCAATACTAAGTATTTTTATGAAGGTATTTTTCTCTTCTGCATAAAACAACAGGTGTGGTCTTCCTATATGCATCAAGGGGGCCATTGTTATCTACAATATATTTAAGAAATACTAAACTAGTAGGATTACAGGTGTGACATTTTTTAGTAGCTTTTAGTGAAAACTTTCTGATAAATGGCTAAAATGAGAACATTGTAGAGTTCTAGGATTAAAAGTAGAGGACACTCTTCCTTGATGTAATGCGTCAGCAGGAGGCAGTTCACAGGTTGCTTACACACCAGGCGGCATGTGCTTCTCAGGTGTACAGTGCCAGCTGGGGTGGAAGGAGCCTGAGTAGCTTTAGTATTTTTTCTGGATTGGAGGAAGATTACTTTTTTAAACAAAATTTTGGTAGGTTGTAATTGTCCACATGTACCAGTGTCATACATTAAGAACTTTGCAGATCTGATCGATATTGACCCATAAGCTAAGGTTAGTATGATTCATAAACTGAGGTGGTTTTATGAACAGCTCTCAGGGAGGACTAGGGGGTCCTACTAAAAGAGTACATTTCATTGCTTTATTGGAAGAAAAAACTTAGCATTTCTCTTTAAGAATGGATCTTTTTAGCATAAATACCTGCGCTATAATTTTACTACTTGTCAAGAAATGGCTGTGTTCAGTGTCCTAGAAAAGTTCCATTTCCCCTCAGTATTTAAAGTATGAGGTTCAGTCCAGAAATTAAAAACACCCTAAAAATGTAATTGTTAAGGTCCATTGTCAAATGGAAATTGCCACCTCCTCCAGTTGTCTTGTTATTTTTCTTGTTACTAAGACAAAATACCCAACACCTAAAGTTAAAGGAAGAAAGGTTCATTTAGCTTACAGTTTGTAGAGGTTTTAGTTTGTAATAGGCTGGCTTCAAGGCAGGATGGCACATGGCAGAGGGGCAACAGTTCATGGCAGCGGAAGACAGCAAAAGCAACAGACAAGACAGGATTCTTTCTGTCCTTTATTTTGTATGCAGTGTACCTCCCAAGGGAAAATGTAGTTCTTACACCCTTAATCCCAGCACTGCACCACCAGTCAGTCACACACTCTAGATTCAGCCACTTTGCTTGAGGCTTTGGGGGGACATCTAGACCCAAACCCTAACAGTCATCTTTTTTTTTTTTCTTTCCCAGATGGGTTACTTATGAATATGGCAACTACAGGGGCCGACAGTTTCTACTGTCACCAGCAGAAGTACCGAACTGGTATGAATTCACCGGCTGTAGCCAGATAGGTTCTCTAAGACCTTTTGTTCAGGTATGTTTTTCTTTATGCTGTGCATAGATTTTCCTCTGAAATAATTTTTTTTGGGGGGGGGGTAAATGCAATATAACTTTGCAGTCTCAGAGCTTGAAATTAGCTCCCGTCCTTCAGTATAGTATTGGGGTTCAGTCTGTGGTACCAAGAAATGTGGCTGCTTTTAGAAATGCTGTCAAAATCAACATCAAACATTGTGTGTCCTAGGCACTTTCAAATTTGTCAAACTCTTACAATTGAGCAAATCTTAGAGCCTTGGAGACTCTTGGGTCTTCCACATCCCTGACCCACACCTAACTTCGGATGCTTCCACAGAGCAGTGCTGTTCAGCGCTTCTAGCGGCACACCCTGTATGTGACTATTTCTGGGGCTTTTGTTTTCTAGAAACGAATTTATTTCAGGCTTCGAAACAAAGCAACAGGGTTGTTCATGTCAACCAATGGGAACTTAGAGGATCTGAAGCTCCTCAGAATACAGGTCATGGAAGACGTCGGTGCTGATGACCAGATTTGGATTTATCAAGAAGGATGCATCAAATGCAGGGTGAGCCTTTAAGAGATGGGGTCGCCAACACCTTTGCCAGGGGGAGACTCATCCTTGCCGTGCTTCTGGGCTTTAGTTACAGAGATGCTATTCCATAATTCCCGGAGCACTGTTCAGAACCAGTCTTAGAAACTCAAAATGGGGTAGGGAGTGAGTCCAGCATTGAACCAAGATAGAATATTTGTGTCTGTTCTTTTTCTGTTACTGTATAAAAATTAAGCTATGATGTTGTTTTGCCCTTTCCTTAATGTACCTACTGTAGAAGTAGCCTACAGCCCGGCACATTAATAGAAGTCACACTTGTTTTCTATTTTGGAAAACGACAGCATGGGGTGAAGAGGTGCCCCTGGGACCCCACGGTCCGCTCCCTAGGGGCTCAGGCTGTATGTAGAAAGTGGCCCACTGCTCTCTCACATCGCTCCTGCCGTCAGACTTTAAAAGCTGAGTGTAGTCAGATTCTATGAGAGGAGCTCATGCCTCTGTTGTAGGTTTCTTTTTTCCTAGACTTTATGGGCTTTGCTGTTTGAGCCCAGTATTTTAAAAATGTCGTACCCCTTGAGTCAGCAGAAGGCTGCAACAGCCTTGTGAGAAAGAGCACGCTAGGGCTGGTGGCCGCTGTGCTTGAGGGCGATCCTTCCCTGCATAAACGGAAGCGCTGTTGAGATGTGCAAGATGACAGAGCACGACAGGCGCGGTAGTGCAATGCTGAAGGGTGAAGAGAAGGCAGCATCTGTCCTGGCATCACCTTCATGCAGGAGAGTGGAACCTTATCCTGCAGAGAGTGCTTATTCCTGCAGCCCAGCACTGATGTCACTTAACAGCTTGAATTCAGTAGCCTGTGAGGAAGAGTGAAATTTCACAGATGATCACAATGGTTTCATCTCACATAGTACACTGTACCACTGACCCACACCTCCAGCCCAGAATAGTCTCTTTTTGAGATAGGGTCTCCCTTGCACTCCCTATACTGTGTATGCTAGCCTCAAACTTATAATCCTCCTGAGAGCAGGGATTCTAAGTATGTACCACCATGCCTGGCAGAAGTGTACTTCCAATTCATTTTTTCCAAAAATATCATTATGTGTTACTGGCTTATGAGCATATGATGCCATGTACTATTTAAACAGAGTCCACCAAAAAATGTATGTACACTTCAGGAAAAAAAAAACTTGTATAAATATTTTAATACTGAATGTATTGAGCCCAGCGTGGTGGCCCATGCCTGTAATCCCAGCACTCGGGAGACTGAGGCAGGAAGATGGTTGCGAGTTCGAGGCCAGCCTGAACTACACAGTGAGACCCTGTCTGAAAAAATAAATAAATAAATATATTGAAACATCATGAGAGTAATACAAGTTACCTCTGGCCTCTGCAGTTACAAGAGATGCTCAAGATGGTGGCCATTAGCTTCCAGATATTTATAGTACAGTACACCGTTGCTTGGGTGACCTTGGTCATTGTGATTGCTGCATGTACATTTTCAATTTCTGCTCTAAGGGCTGGCGGTGTAGTGGGGTTTGTGTGATATACGACATCCTTTAGGTCGCCCATAGGGGGACCACCGTCCATTGAACAAACATACTAGTGTTCTTTTCCTGAAGTGTGTACATACTTCTTTTGGCAGACTCTGTGTATTAAAGGTAGATTCACTTTGGGGAAGGATTCTAAAGATTGCTGTGTTAAAACATATTCTGGTGGGCTTTATTTTCTTTTTATACCTGGAGAGTGTGCCTACTTCAAAAATTTGAGATGTTTCTCAGAGGAAAGACAAAAGGAGCTAGTAAATGTTGTCTCAGGTATTACAGTGATAAAATGCCCTGTTTGCATCGGAACTTCAGTCATAGCCCAGGGGCTCAGGCTGTGTTGGGGGAGGTTAAGCTGTACCCCAGCTTCAAATCACAGGCACTTCTGACAGGGAAAAGTACATGATGAGCAGTTTTCATGTCTGTATGCGTAATAGTAATACAGAGACTCTTGCAAAGGGCAGAAGTTTTAACAATGCACAAGAATTGAGGACGTTCTATGATTCATGTTATCTGAAATAACGTTCAAAAGTATTTCTTATTTGGTGCTAGTGAGTCTGTCTAAAAGCTGAAATGCCCCCTGGAATAAAGGAAGCCACCAAAAGAAACTGTGATAATTTATAAAAAATCATCTACTTAGAAGGGAATAATTATTATTAGGCTTAAGTACCTATTCTTTTTTAAGACACTTTGTTCTTTCCACTGAGCAGATAGCAGAAGACTGCTGCCTGACCATCGTGGGCAGTCTCGTCACATCAGGCTCTAAACTCGGCCTGTCACTTGACCAGAACGTCGACAGTCAGTTCTGGTGTATGAAGTCAGACGGCAGGATCTACAGCAAGCTGAAGCCAAACTTGGTTTTAGATATCAAAGGTAAGGGTCATTTCTTTGATTCTAACGTGCTTTTTTTCCTGTGGTGCTAGGGCTTGAACCTAGGGGCTCATACACACATGGAAAGTGCTCTACCACTGACGCCATCCTAGCCCTTTTCTCATAGGATCTTGTTAATAAGATACCAGGCTGGCCTCAAACTTGAGATCCTCCTCAGTCTGCAGAATAGCTAAGGTTACAGCTGTCCACCCCCACGACCAGCTCTCATATGCCTTTCTTTCTTTAATTAAGGAAAAAAATCTCAACTTTTGAAAATCGAAGGTACTATTGATACAGGGATACCTCAGTTCACGCACTTAATTCTTCCCACAATTCTGGTTGCAAACCAAACTGGACAAGAACTAAATCAGTTCAGTGGTTAGGTTCAATGTTTACCTGATAGAGCAGTTTGATTCGGTTCTTTAATCAGGGCTCCAGGCCAAGGCTGTCATTAAAAATTAAAACATAAAGGTAAAGAATGAGCTGTAGTCTGATTTTTAAAACACTTCTCAGTAACGGAAAGTGAAGCCTGAATATTTCATCAGGACTTTTGGTAGCTGCTTTTAGGAGAGGTACACCTGTAACTTCTGGTGATCTCTGTGTAGATCAAGTGACCAACACACTTACATACACAGTGGGATTAGAATCCCAAGTACCTTGAGAAGTTGGAGAGGGGCGCAGAGGCAGAAGACTATGCTTAGGGAACACAAATTAAGCAGTGTAACTGCAGGCTGGATGGAGGCCGAAACATTAAAAATGCAAGTAGGACCCTTGGACATGAGAAAAAAGTGCACCATGCGGGAAATGAAGAGTAATGTACAGTCTAACTCCATCTCAGTTTGTGAACCCACAACATGCCCATTTTATACACGACCAACCTGGGCAAGAATCGGCCCAGGCCTTTATTAACTTTGTGGCCCCTGCGTTTTTATTAACTTTTCTATAAGATCATTTTCAAAATCCCCAGGGAAGACAAAGAAATGTTATAAAATTGAAAAAGTAGAGTTTTTGAGGAAAAATTAGGGTAGTCCCCAAAAAAGGCTGAGCACACCATCATGTTTCTTACAAGTGCAGAGGCAGTCAGCTTCCTCTGTCCAGGGTTGAGGCCACTGAGATTGTGGGACAGAATATTTTTCTTTCAGTGCTATTCACGGGGTACCACATGACAGGCTCCACACTAGACACTCACGTGCCAAAGTGAACAGAGAGGACTGCTTCCCTGACCCAGCCTGTGCCGTGTGACTCCTCCCTGGGGGTCGCTTTAACTCTCCAAAGCTCCTTCCTAAAACATACTGTACATCAGTCCTGTGGCTCTGAGCGAGGAGAGTGTCCTGTGCATTAATGAACGCTCAACATTTAGTACAGCCGCTGCAGTAGCTGCTTAATTTCTTGTTATTTCTGGAATTTGAGTTGCCAGAATGTGGGAGAAGGCCGCCACCTTCTGGACATGAGAGAACAGGGCTTTACAGCCTATGTCCTGTGCCCGGGAAATGCAAACACATATGGGGCACTTTGTAGGACCTTGTGGTTTTCATTAGCTACAACCAAGTAATTCATTACCTTTTGAAAATGCCATAATATTTATTAGCCAGGCAGTGGCACACACCTGTAATCCCAACACTTAGGAGGCTGAGGCAGGAGAATTACTGTGAGTTTGAGGTCAGCCTGAACCACATAATGAGACCCTGTCACAAAGAAACAAAAAAGAAATTGCCAGTTTATTAGATCTAGTGTCTTTGTTCTCTTCTTGAGTTTGGGGGAAGAGTTGTTTTGGTAGATGTTTGTGTATTATTCCATACCTCGTATGTTATGACAGCAGTGGAAGCTGATTCACGCCCACTTTAAAAACCATCCAAGGTCTGGCAGGATTGTATTATAAGCAAATGAATCAGACAGCTGTGTAAACCACAAATACTACAAATAAACCAAACTGGAAAGATAACCTCCAAGCAGTATTTCAGACTGTTCAAGGAAATGCTAGTGATTGCTTTCAAATAGGGTGTTAGGGTGTAAGATGTGTTCTGAGTCACTCTTCAGTCCCACTTGGCCAGGAACTCGGAAGTAACCAGCTGTACTGGCAGGTAGATGGGGCCCTCAGAATACACAGGTGACATAGATAAGGTGGGACCGTCAGTGATGAGACCGCCAGTAATAAAGTCACGCTGTTCACCCTTTTAAGACCAGACAGTAAAGGAAAGCAACTTTCTAAAAACACAGTAGGTAGTGGCTTCCTACCTGCCTGCAAGTACACGTCAGGAAAGAAGGTTTGTGCCTCTGCTTCACTCATCTGTACTTCCCAGCCGCCCACAAGCAGTGCAGTAGAAATGCATTTCTTATCTATAAAAGAGAAGAAGTCTGACATGATTTAAATTTTTCCCAAAGGCAAAACAATGAATTAACTTCTTTCTCAAGAACTTTCTAGTCTTAAAGATTGTAATTAGAATCAATGATGCATAATTTTTAAAAGTCTGTTAACGTACTGTAATCCCGAAGAATGGAAGGGAAGCCACTGTGCCCTCAGTACCTTCTGAAATCTCACTGGAGAGTGCTGTGTTGCAGGCAGAGTGTAGGGTTTGCTGGTAGTGGGAACTTTTCTTCCCCCGCAAAGGTGCATGTGGAAGGCCCCAGCCGCCTTGTAGTCACACTGTGCCCCGCTGTGAAGAGGCTATCTCAGTGACAACGCAGCATCGCAAGACACGGTTTCCTTCTCCAGTTACCTAGGTTCCTAAGTTAGCAGACTTTCGCTGTCTTCTAATGCTTTAAAGGAGAGAAGAATGTTGATTTCTGGTTGGCCTAAGCATGTGTGTGTGGACATACTGCCTCGGTGCAGAGGCTTACACTGAAAGGTAAAGTATCTGAAAGTATATGTCCTGGAAAATGACCAAAAAAAATCAGATCGCCTTTCCTTTCGTTAATGACACTTCTGCCCTGAAAGAGGCCATGGGACTGTTTTTGATACACTAGTTTCCAGTAAGTACCCTGGGAAGTCTGTTTATACACATTCTGGTGAAGAATGATGGGCTGGTGATACTGGTTTAGAATTACTACGTACCAACTGCTTTCTTAGCCGTGGGAGCGCTTCCCTACCTCCCTGGTGCTGTGCGGACTTCTGATGCCGTTCAGCCCCCGCTTTGACCTAATGCAGCCGTTTCTCATTACTCACCTAAAACCCGTAGCCTCCGACAGCCACTCCTACCGGCCTTCCACTGCCACCAGGTTTGCCTGCTCACTCCTTGCTAGGATCGCACGTCCGTGATTTCACACCTTGTAGCCTCCTTTTCCTTTTCCCGTTGGCCCCAGTTTCAGGCATGTTAACGTCGAGCACAAACAGGAACCTCACAGTGTGAGCTCCTGCACAGGCATCTGGAGTTTCCAGCCCTGGCATTTCCGTGGAGCACGCAGTCTCACAGGGTTCACGTTGCTCTGTGGGTGCGGTCTGCTGTTGCCCTCTGGTCTGCACACTGCTTACTTTCCTTTGTTGCAGGGGGTGCGCAGTACGATCAGAATCACATCATCCTCAACACAGTCAACGAGGAGAAGTTAACACAAGTGTGGGAAGCCATGGTCCTATGAACGTCAACACGGACACGGGGGCCTTTTCTGGAGGACTTGCCAGCCACTTGCTTCGAGAAACACAAGAGGACGGTGCTGGTGGGGGAGCCCAGTAGAAAGTGGACCAACGCCCTCTCTCCACCGAGTCACCTGCCGTGACTGGGAGACTTACAAGACTGTAATAGTTTTAAACCAGTAATTAGCCCTCCTCTCATTTCTTGCTTTCATTGCCTCAGTAACTACTTAAACAGGTTGCCTCATTAGCAGCTTTTAGGTATTTTTAAAAGATGTTAAGACTCAGAACTGTGTAGATTTTAAATTTTTTCCAAAGATAGTGACAGAAGAGAACAGGACCAAATTTACTGATTCTGTGGACCTACAAATCCCTTTTTTTTTTTCTTTTTGTCTTTTTGAGACAAGGTCTTACTATGCAGTTCAGGCTGGACTTGAGCTCACTTTGTAGCCCAGGCTGGCCTCGAACATGCAACCATCCTCTGCCTCAGCCTCCTGAGTGCTGGGATTGCAGATGTGCACCACCATGCCTGGCCTCCCTTACACTTTAAAGGGAGCTATAAACGCTTCTATTTGTAAGGTAGAATACTGTTTACCACTTTAGAGGAATGCTTTATTAGGCCTGTACATTTGTCTTGGCCTTAATGTTTTCTGGACTTAATAATTATGCTGAAAGGCAGAGTGTGAAAACCTGGTGTGTTCAGGAACATAAGGCATTCAATAAATATAAACAAAGTGCCTTTCTTACAGTGGCTACTAGAACAGTATTATCACAGCCTCATTGATTAGCATGTCCTTACTCACCTACGCCACGTACTGAAGCCATATTCTACCGTTTTTTGCTAAACTCAGAACTTCTAGCCTCATTTCCAGCCCTTACTGCCTAGGACAGGCAGGTACCTTGGACACTACAGCCCTAAGCTCCCTTCCTTCTAGTAGCAGAAAGAGAGTGTGCGATGCTGAGAGGACGACCGTAGTCATCTCCAGAAAGTGAAGGAGAGGAGCCCGTAAGAGCTGTTTGCCGGTCAAATGCTAGAGCTCTGAGAACCCTAAAATGCACTAAGGGATTCAGAAACGCAATGAAGCCATTTAACTTGGCAATACACTGGTGCACACCGTGCTGCTCTGTCGGTTCTTGTTTGGAACAGAACTGCTAAATGTTTCCTCGAGTACATTCTTTGTCCTCAACACCTAATACTGGTGCTCTTGTCACAAGCAGACTTGTCACAAGTAGAACAAATCTTGTTTCTATTTTATCTGTTAAAGCACGTTTCTAATTCTGAAATGTGATCCTCCCTAGAGTCCATGGTAGACAACAGTGGCCATGAGAACAGTTCTAAAACGTTCGTACAGCAGCATTCAGCATGCCTCTCTTGGTCTTACATGTCTTTGTAGCTCTCATTTTAGGCCTTTTGGTCTGTATCATTAAAATATGGTGGGTGGGTGAAGATAATTCTGTAATAGCCTGAGTGGAGTTTCTGTGGAATAAACTTATTTCTGGCCAACTGCACTGACAGCATCTCTAAGTCCATTCAGAACCACTCGTGTCACCACAGGAGAGTCACAGGCCGGCTGGCTTAGGATGAGGCGAGTTCACGGGGTCCCGGCAGAGCAGCCGCAAGAGTGGGTGCAGTGCTGCTCGCCTCCTCGCGCAGCCTGGGGCCCTCGGGGAGGAGCTGAGCCCCTGCACACGGGCTTAGGAGCGGCTGCATCTACAATGAAAAGGCTTTTTTTTTCCTTTTGAAATAAATTTACACTCAGATAATTCAGAGAAAAAAGCTTCCAAATAAGTGTCTAAGAGCAATAAACTATTTCTCAAAGTAGGTCCACATCAAAGGCTAGAAGCAAGTGTCGAAGGTACAGTAATGGCCTGAGTATAGCAGTAAATAAAAACTACCTGAAACTAATGGAGAGTAGGGAATCCAAAGTGCACCCTGTGACAGGTTTATTGGTGGGACGCTGAAACAGGCCTATAAAGACATGAAACGGCAGAGCGGGCTCCACAGAAATGGTGGTAATTTCCACGGAAAAGCGCTCTGGCTAGTGTGCTTCAATTACTGAAAGAGGCCCAACCCTAATGCAAAAGGTAAGGGTTTAAAAAAGTGAGAGCCTTTAGCTTCACCTTCCACTATGAAGAAAGCAAACAAATGAATCATAGGCCAGATTTTTATACATGACCTCAGCAACTCAGAACTTACTTTTGTTCCTTCCCATGTTGCTGCAGATCAGAACCAGGGCTTTGCACATTCCAGACAAGTGCTCCACACTGAGCGCCTCCAGCCCTGCGAGTGGGCACCTGGAGGACTGTGGTAACCACACCAGAGACGGAGAATAAAAACAGAAGGCAACGTGTTAGCTTTCGACTACTGTGACAAAAAAAACCTATCGGTAGTGTTGACTCTTTTTTTCCATTAGTTCAAGATTATTTCCCATTAACTTTGTCAACCGTTTCTTTTAAATGCAAATATTTAAGTTCTTAAAAATAAAAAAAAAAAACCAAGCAGGAAAGGTTTGTTTGGGCGCAGTTTTAGAGGACTCAGTCCGTGGCTGTTGGCTCTGTTGCTTTTGGGTCCCGGCAAGGCAGCCCCTCGTGCTGGAAGCAAGTGATGGAGGAAGAAGCTTACTTCGTGGAGGCCAGGAGGGAGCTGGGGTCCAATATCCTCCCGAGGGCAGGCCCCTGATGACCTAACTTCTCCCACTGGGTCCCGCCTCTCAAAGGTCTCATCACATCCTGACACAGCCGCAGGCCTGAGGACAAGCCTTCAACACACAGCCTCCGGGAGACACTCCCCTCCGGATTTCAGCACTGCACCCCAGCCCCTGAAGGCAGCAGCAAGATGCACTCAGTCCATCTCCAAGAGTTTCCGAAATCTCAACAGTTCCAGCACTGCTCAAGGAAGTGAAACCTGACACTCCAGGCAAACCCTTAGCTTTGAGCCCCTGTAAAAATTGTTACTTCCAAGATACAAAGGATAAATATTCCTATTCTAAAAGGGAAGAATAAGAGCTAAAAAGGAATAGAGCAAAACAAGACCAAAGCCAACATGATAAACACTGAGCCCTGTACCTTCGCATCCTGCATCGAATGCCCCAGTGGTGACATGAGTGGTATGAGCACTGAAGGGTTTGGCACCTCGCCTTGGCCTTGCGGATGGCATCCCATCTGGCCAGTCTCCTGAGCTGGCCGATGGCCGCCTGCCGCCCCCTCGGTAGGCACTGCATGTTCCTGGCGTCTTCAACTGCCTGGGTCTCCACTGAAGCTCTGGCTGCACTCTCACAGCTTCATGTGTCATGCCGTCAGGATGCCTGCAGGGACCCTGACCCTGCCGCACCCGCCTGGCCTCCCAGGTTTTCCCTGGAAATCCCGGAAGCCTCCATGACCCCTTGGTTTTTGCATTCTTCATGGTTGCAAAAGCAGCATCCTGTGGACAGGGCCAAGGTCTGCTGCCAGTGAGCTGTACCCAAGTCCACTGGAGTCACTGCTGCGGCAGCCCGGGTGCCGTGACAGCTCAATCCTGGGAAACAAATTCCCAAGGAAACAATTTCCTAGGTGGCTGTGTGAGCACAAACCGAACTTGAAGTAAGCTTACACTCTTATCTTTGAGCCTGTGACAGGTGGGGTCTCCTGTCATCTCAGCACAAAGTACAGGGGGCCTCGGTCCTTCCCATTCTGGTCACAAACCGACTGGTCGTGAATTGAAATTGACCCCTAAGCTCAACCCTGGACCTAACCACTTAACCAGTGAATCTGATTTATTTCTCATCCAATGCAGTTTCGGTCAGAACTGTGGAAAGAATTAAGTTTGTAAACTGAGGTACCACTGTACATGACTTCCTTTTAATGGTACCACTCTCTGTAGCAACTGCCCCCTCCTTGGTGGCACACACTCCTTTTCTGGCAAACTCCAAGTTGCCCAATTTTTCCATTGTCTTTCTTGCTCACTTTCTCTGTAAATTTGGCTACAGATAGCCAGCAAGATCCATCTGTTGCCTGAAAACTGCTACCTTGAAATTTCTTCCAGCTGGGCATGATGGTGCATGCCTGTAATCTCAGCACTCACGAGGCCGAGGCAGGAGGATTACTGCAAGTTCAAGGCTGAGCTATATAGTGAGACCCTGTCTCAAAAAACAATACAAAACACCAAAAACCGAAATTTCTTCCACTAGATAAACCTATCACCTTTAAACTCAGCCCCACACAAGTCTCAAGCCATGGACAAAATTCAACCAAGTTCTTTTTCACCAAACAGTAACACAAGTAGCCTCTAGTTCAATTTCCAGTAGAACCTTTACTTCATTCTCAAGCTTCATCAGCATAGCCTTTACTGTCTGCATTTCTATCAGCATTTTGGTCACCTGAGCCTTCACCAGAATCACAGGATAAGCTCTGCTTACAGCAGTCCAGACTTACTGTATCCTGCTTCTTCAAACTTTTCCCAATTCCCCTTCCAACCAATTCCAAAGACTTCTGAACCACACCATCAATACAATCACAACAGTGACCCCACTTCTTGGTACCAATTTCCTTTGTTAGTTAGCCTTCTGTTACTATAAGAAACACCTGCAAATTAAGATACAAGGAGAAAAGGTTTATTTTGACTCACGATTTGAAGGTTTCAGTCCATGGTCAGTGGCTCCACTACTTTTGGGCATGGCGGCACATCATTGTGAATGATGGCGCAAGATGCTTACCTTACTGTGGCCAGAAAGTAAAGGGAAGCAAGGGGCCAGACTCCCAATATTCCCTCCAAGGGATGCCCCCACTGACTAACTTCCTTCCACTAGGTTTCACCCCCTCCCCATATGGCTGTAGGCTTGTGACCAAGCCTTGATCACATGGGCTTCTGGCAACATTTCAGACCCAAATAATGCTACCAGTTAGAAAGGTGCTCCCTGATGAGTTTAAAAAGGAACTAACTTTTAACACCAGAAGTTTTAGGATCTCACATGCATTAAGATGATAAGATATGGTTTGAGCTGACTGGAAGGTACTCTAGCAATCTTCAAAGCTGGTGGCAAAGAGCAGCTTAAAGAAAACAATGTGCATTTGTCACTGACTATAGAGAAGTCCAAGTGCTGATATTTTTGTATCAATTACTGGAAAATTATTGACCAGAAGTGGTGTGCTTTTTTTAATCATGACATTTATACTCTAATCTGAAATTTGAGAGGACTGTCTAAAGAAAAAGTTTGGACCACAAGCACTTAGCAAATAACAGCCAACAATGACTAACGCACAGGGCATTTATTTAAATGACATTTATTACAGTCTTTCCTCGTGCGTGTCCTCTTTCCACCTTCAGGAAGGCTTCCGGAACTTTAGAAAAAGGAAAGGTTTGTTCAATAACTGGCTGAATCTGTAAAATACAAGAAGAGATTGGTTGATAAGAAACCCACCCCACATCTTTCAAGGCTGATGACGCCTGCAATTGGTTTCTTCATGATACCCTTCCAGGGCTGTCTCGGGCCTTTCTCCAGAGTCCCTAGATCAGGAGCTCAGCTGGCCACAGCCGCCACCTCTGTTCCTGTTTGCTCACATCGCTCTCTGAGGAGGCCAATTCCACTGTCCCCCATCTTGCTTCCGCTCTATGCTGTCATGCCACTCCCTTACCCAGAACCCTCCCATAGCTCCCAAGCCTGGCACTCAAAGGCCACTACCATGCCACCCTCAGCCCTCCCGTGGACTGTGTGCTTTACCAAGGGGGCGCATCTGAACAGCGTCTCTTTAGAGACTGCCTTGTTATAACCACGTACCCATCTCATCCACCCTGCTGTGTAAGGAACTATCAAAGGGGGTGCCCCGAAGTCCTTGCAATTAGGCTTCCCTGTGGCCCCCTTAAGATAGTATGCAGAGTAGCAAAGAAATTTTTCAAAAATGTGTTAAATAAATGTTTGTTTATTTAACTGGAGTACGCCGTACTCATGGTATAGGTCACCTCTCTTGTAGTCCTGTAGAACACCCAGAATAATGCCAGGCACATAGGAGCAGCGTACAAGTGTCACATAGGTGAAACTCAGGATAAGTGGGAAGCAGGAATCTTAGGTGAGCTTGCTGGGGCTCAGGAAAGCGTGACCCAGGCTGCTCTGCGGAGTGGCAGCGCGGCTGGTGAGTGTGCAGGAAAGCTGTTCCAGCCAGCTCGTCCGCGGCACACCATTATCACTGCCAGCAACCTCCTCTGAAACTAGTCCCAGGCGACACCCCTCCCCCCGTGCAAAAATCTAACCGACCACCCGTCTACAAAACATCACGCAGAAATCTCACTGTCCGCAGGGCCCCTCGCTGGGCTGCCTCCCCAGCTCCACTGGCAGGGCCGGGCCACCAGAAGGCACAAGCCAACTCGCATGTCCCCTCGTGACATTCAGATGCGTCTGACACAACTTCTGGTGTGACTGTCACAGCTCACCCACCCGAGAAGCATCTTGGACTCTGCGTGTTCCCTTCTGCTAAGAGCTCAAATTTTTTTTCTGTCCACAAATCACAACAAGCTCATGATAAAAAACTAGCTACCATGTTCTGTCCTCACTACATACCGAGCACTGGTCCAAGGTCTCCATATATTTACCTCATTTAAAGCCCGTAACCACCTTCTGAGGTAGGATTGCCCATATACCCTTTTTACAAATGAGGAAACTGAGGCACAGAGTTAAACATGTGAGTGCCACATTAAGTGCTGACAACGCGGGAAGCCATCTCTGCTCTCACCTGCATGTGCCGGATCTCTCATTACCATGCTGCTTTCTCGCTCTACCTCTCAAGGAAGGGACAGGTAGCCAAGAGCTAATATGACCTCCCAAAGCCTGCACCTTGGTGCACCTTCCTTGTGCCGGCTGAGGACCTGGTCTCCAGGCTGTGTCCAGGCCACCGACGTGACAGATGTGCGCCAACACTTCCGCCTACCTGCAGAAGAGCTCACTGACTGAGCTTCCTAGCACGCCCAGTGCGGCCCAGAACCTTCCTCCACATACATCACAGCCACTGAGGACAACTTGAGAGCACTTGCTAGATGAACTCTGCCTTCTCTGAAAATAGAGGGCACTCGGGGGCCCCGTGTGCCCCACAGGAAGCCTTCTGCACTCACTGCCTTCCTTAGAAGCCCTGGGACATGGTTTTCTAGGTGCTGATTACCTGGAGAAGGAATGATTTTAATGCAGCCTTGACATGCACTATCGGGGCCTCCACTTGGATCACCCAAATCAGACTCCAGCGGGAGGGAGGACCGTGCCTTTGCCACAGGCTTCCCGAGAGGTGCGCAGGCTCACTGCAGTGGGGCCGCTGTGGCCTTCTGCCTTGTGCTCAGGCTCCTGAACTTGCAGCAGACACATACTCAGCCACTCCACAAAGATCTACTAAGTGCCTAGCTTCTAAGTCCTAGGCGCTACCCCAGAGCAGCTACACAAAACGGGCCGTGCTCCAGAACGAGCCGCCTAAGCCAGTGTGAAGCACAGTCACTCTGGAGCTCTGCGGGAGCCACACAGGCTGACCTGCTGACCCAGGCAGTGACCGCACACTTTGATCTGGCTGGTCAGGCCTATTGTGGCAAATAACCCGAGAGGGCTGACCGCGGCATAATGAGTCACTGAGCACTGCCCGTAAGTGACAATGAAAAGAAGGCTTCTGAATCGGGGGCAGGCAAATGCCGCTGTTGGCTGAATACGTGGCAGCAAATGAAGATTATCTGGACAATGTGACAGTGTCTAAGCATAGCCTCCCATCAGACCTAAACCCTTGTTTGTTAAGGACAAAGGGATCAGAGCTAAAATCCAGAGAGGGGAAAGAAAGGTTACTCGCAGTGAAGTGAGGACATTTATGTGATGACACAGGGAGCTGGACAGAAAACCAGCTGTCCCTGTCCACCCGGCACAGGGAGCTGTTATAAAGTGGGCAGGCCCAGCACCACACTTCCCGCTGCAGACACCAAGCGCACGGCGGACCACGGGAGGCCGCGGCAGCAGCGCTCCTTCGGGCTTGATGCACGTGTGGGGTCCGCGAGATGCACCTTATCTCCCTTAAGCCAAGGCCATGCCAAGCCAGAACCAAGATCTGGCACCTGCTCTGTGACCACTACGGACAGTGTAGAACAGGGAGCAGGAAACCTCAGCCTCCCTAAATCCGGCCTCGCAACACAGTGCCTCACCAGGACTCCCGGGGCTGAGGCAGGAACCCGCTCTGCCCCATTTTTCACCAGCTGGGCGACGGGGTTCTGGGGGGAAAGGGCAGAGGGACAGAGGCAGAGGTTCCCCCTAATCCCCATGCTCCCAACAAGTAAGAACAACAGTGCAGAAAGGGGTCTCCCTCTCCGCGCAGGCCTGTTTCCGAGATTAGGAAGCTGACACGTGAGTGGCTGAACGGTGCGTGTGGAGTCAGGGCTGGCAGAGGCAGAGCCAACATCAGCACCAGGACACCTGATCCGGTTGCCAACTGCGACAGCTGGTCTGGGAGTCACCATCTGTACAGTTCTTCCCTACACCCCCCACCCGGGAGCACGGGATTGTGAACAAGGAAGTCAGACGATGACACCAACAAGAGCTCAGGTCTCCCCGCAACCATGGATGGCCCCAGCACCACCTCTCAGGTGGGGACACTCTGACCTCCGGGACAGGCTCAGCATCCTCAGGACTCACTGGTGCAAAGGGGACAGAGGAGACTTCCAGTCCCCTGAGGTAACAAGAGGACAAGGGCATTTTGCTCCAATTTGTAATTCTGTAGCTACTTTTTGTCCCCAGACGGACAACTCCAGGCTGACAAGAGAGGTGGTGGGGAAGGAAGGGATACAGACGCGGGAGCTCTCCGAGGAAGAAAGGTATTGTTTTGGAAAACGGCAGACTCATCCCAAGGTACCCATCCCGAAGAAAGAGTCCTCCTCCTGCCCAGAAGGTGAGAGGGAAAACCTGGTATGCATTTCCTCATGGAAAGAATTTCAATAGCATCAGAAAAACATCAGTAGTGCCAAGGCCCGGAGATGCAGGAGATACTCACCACATCTGGCAAGCTAACCCTCTTCTGGTGGCCCTGGGGGTCTGATCTCTAATCATTACATTCTTTCTAGAGAGTAAAGTCCAGGTGCAATATGGAACTTATTAGGGCCTGGGCATCCAAGAGGGTTGTGGGAAATTGCTTACCTCAGAACTCACTGCATTTCCCACTAAAGCTGCAGTGTTCAAAATGGCAGCCTCTAGACACATGTGGCTACTTATATTTAATAAAAAAAATGAGTAAATACTAGGAAAACTTCAGTCTTCCAGTTGTACTAGCCACATTTCAATGGCTCCAGTCATATATGGTAAGTGGCTACTATCAAGGACATTTCCATCACTGCAGAAAGTTCTAGAAGACAGCGCTGCTCAGAAGGCAACATCTCCCACTCCCTTCCAGGGTAAAGCAGAGTGCTAGGAAGCCCTCAGTAAATGTTTTGAACTGAACTCAAGTAAATTACACAGGAACTCTTCTGATGCTGGCTAACATAAGGAAATAAACTTTAAGAAGTCTATATCACTGTTGAACCAAGGAGCTTGGTTATTTGTGTTGGATTTTGAAGAGACCTGTAAACAGTGACATCAGAGGGCTCTAATAAAGCCATGAAGAATAGACATGTACAAATAAACATGCTCAAAAAGCGACAAGGCAATCAGAAGTGCGGTGCAGGCTTGTAGTTCCAGCTCCTAGGGAGGCTGGGCTGGGAGGTTCACTTAAGCCCAGGAGTACAGGATCTGCCATGACAGCATAGCAGCATCCCATATCAAAAACTAAACAAATAAATTTTTAAAAAGTTAAAAAGAAAAAACCTTCTCCTACTTATCTCCAGCCACCCAATTTCCCTCTTTAGGGGCAAACAATATTTTAAAATCCTTTCATATACTTTTGAGATATTTTCGGCACTGTGGTGGGCAGAATAACAACCTCCCAGGACATTCACAGCCAAATCCCTCGGGTCTGTAAGTGCCTTACCTTCCATGGCAACAGGTGCCCAACTGCTGACGCCATTAGGTGAAGGATACCGAAACGGGAGGGGATCACCCTGGCTTATTCAAGTGGGCCCAATGGAGTCACCCCTGTTGCTATACGAGGGAGGCTGGAGGCAGAGTCAGGGAAGGAGAGGTGGCGAGAGAAGTGGAGGTCAAGCCGATGCAGCCACAAGTCAGAGCGCAGGCAGCCCCTAGAAGGAGGGGCAGGCCAGGCCACACTTCCTCTAGCCTGCCTCCCCAAGACACAGCCCTGCCATGTGACACAAGAAGATCTAAGCTGACACAAGATGTAATAAAATATCAAGAATTCAAGCCCACCTGTGAAATGCTTGACTATGTACACTAGCAAAGAACAACGAGTGAGGAATTCAGGGTATGAGGCAGCAGAAGATAGTGGACGAAACTGCCCTAGGAGTCCGGAGACCTACGTGACCTAAGCGCGCCATTTAAATTCTTGTCCCTACAAGTGTGACACAACATTGTCACATAGCAGGGTGGGGTAAGAGATGAGGACAAGCAACTCGAGATGTACTAGGTTCTTCTGCTTCTAACTACGCTACTCCGTGACATAAGCAGGCTCTGAATGTAATTTTTGCTATGGGCCTCCCATTTCCCACCCAAAAAACATTTGCTAAATAATATGAAAATAGGAAATGTGTACTGTGCTGAAGAGAAAATGCCAATGAACTATAGGCACCAGGCACAATTTCAAGAGCAGCCCGTGCCGCTCAAGGCGCTAATTATGCATTATTCCCCGTGAGACTGTGCAGTAGAGCAGCGTTTTGTCCCCCGGCTGTGTGGAGCGACGCACGCAGGGGCGACTACGCCGTCGTCAGCAGCACGGCCGCCGCTCCTCCGCCGGGCCTGGCAACGGGGGCTGGCATCGCTGGGGATGTGCTTAAAAAGGTCGTAACCACCAGTCTAAGACTGGCAACCTCTGTCAGTGAAGGGCTAGCCAGTGGGTATTTGAGTCTCTGCAGACCATACATAATCTACGTTCTTCTCCGCTTCTCAATAAATCGCTGGAAATGTAAACGCCGCACTTAGCTCAGGGGAGGCACAAAATGGCGATTGTGTTCGGCCCGCTGGCTGTGAACTGGCGACCTGTGGCTGAGCAGTAATGAAAACACGACGCAGCTCTCACAGGCCACACCGACCCTGCGCGCAGCCGGGTAAACACGAAATTAAAATCCTACCACGTGCACGAAGGCCGCACGACGACGGCTGCGTGAAGGAGCGACGTCCCCGCACGCTGCTGAAGGGTCAGCCCCTCTCACTTCTGGGCTGGACAACGCGGGCACGTTAAAAGCAGCGGACCTAATTCCAAACATTCTGCTAAGCGCCGGTGAGAAGGCAAAGGCGGGGCTCGGGTTCACAAGGCAGTGAGGGCGGCGCCCTTACGGACCGAGAATGCTCATTATTACGGATGTTACCCTGCGGTTTCTTTAGTTTTCACCGGGACACCATACAAGGACAAGTGACACTCGCCCGGTAATATTCACGAATCCAGGCACTATTTTCAATCCGGACAGTGTAGGTTAAAAGTGATCAATGCTAGATCTTCACATTTCCAAAAGCAAGTCTCTCATGAACTATAGGCAAAAGGGCAAGAAAGTGGGGGGAAGGGAGGGTCTAGAAGGTAAGCCAGAAACTCCTGACGCTACAGACACAAACTCGATCTGCAAAAGCTATTTTAATACCTATTAAATTGTATGTACAGATACCTTTGGACTCAGTGACTTTATTCCTGTGAACAGAAGTGGATATACTCACAAGTAGATACTTAACACAAATACTGAGTTATCCACTGAGGCATTATTTGCAAAAGAGTAGAATGAATAAATGAATGACGGCATATCTGTACAAAGGACACTGTACAGCTGCTAATAAAACCAAGAATGAAGAGAGTTTCCACCCTGCTGAGAACCCGAGCGCAAGGCCGGCTGTCGTAAAGACAGCGAGGCGCCGAGCGTGGACGTGCGTGCCTATAGCCCCGGCACCTGGGGCGCTGAGGCAGTAGTACGGGGAGTTCAAGGCCTGGGCCGCACAGCACGACCAATCAGCACGGCCCGGAACGGCGTGTTACCCATCTGTGTCTGGGAGGCAGGAGAAACTGGAAACTCGCAGGGTCGGCTGTGTCCGACAAGCAGGGTCCCGGGGACTGAGGGGCGGGAGTCGGATGATTACTGAGATTCTTTCCTACTTTTTGGATTTTAAGCCTTGGGAATATATTTATCTCAAAACTGAAATTAAAATGTTCTATCACAGTAGGTTCTGTTGCTCATGACTTTACACTATCAAAAAAGAACTGCAGCTCCTCTATCAGACACCTGCTAATGAGATTCTTACGCCCTCAGCTAAAGCTTAAAGGAGCTAAACGTCTTCATCGGTGGAGCAAATCTCCACTAAGGGCGCAATGTGCAAGACCCTTCACATGACTCTTCCCATTGCCCAGCAGAGACAGGCAATGGCCTCTCCCCGCCGCAGAGAAGCAGGGGCAGGACGAGACCGCTGGCCTTATTGTGATGTCCAGCATCACCTGTCAACCTGTACAGTTCCGGAGCCCTTCACTGTCAGAAATGATTCCCAGTCTCAACAGCCTGTCCAGGAGAGAGAAGAATCAGAGGTAAAAGAATATTTCCTTGTTTACTCTGCTTCAAGGGTACTTCCAGAACATCTTTTTGCTATCACTTCCTCTGGTCTATCAGTTATCTGCTAAATAACAGAGGTAAATATATGCAAGTCGCCTCTCTCTGTTGGGTAAATAGGAATTTGCAGGTAGAGAATGTCACACTATTTTGAATACAAAAGAGTGAAGGCAAGCATGCGCACCGCGTGGAGCAGATATCAGCACAAGCACAGTCACGTGGTGGGCTTCGGCAGGGCTGAGACCCCACCAGCACGGTGGTCCAGCTGCGTGCAGCACTTACTTCCTCTTTCCTAGCAATAAAATAAGCATCCCCGTGGGACGTGGGAAAACCCTACAAAAAGGCACTGACACAGTCACAGTGACACCAAGCCAGTCTCTACCCAGGACACAGCAAGACCTAGGAGTTCAAGAAAAAGCTTGCAAACTTGGAACCAAAAAACTGGGGGAGTACTAACAGACCATCCCTATTATACAGTTCCTTAGTTATAATAAAAAACTCAGATGCACAGAGAGCGGTCAGTAGTTCTTTCTTAAAATAGTCTTTCCTAAAATCAAAATGGAAAGATAAACGGGCTAGCCAGGGGCAGGCAGCAACAGAAGCAGCCCACTTTCCGGGGTCCTTCCACGTGTCCAACCGCGGATCGGGAGGTGACTCTGCCAGCCCTGCTCTAACCCCTTTCCCCACACACTGCAAAATGACGAGGACAAGGCAATGTCCGCAGAGTCCCAAATCAGCCCAAACACTAAAAGGTGGCAAAGGAAAAGCACGGGCCCAGGAGGCCGGAGGTACGAGTTCTGGTGCCCCTTCTGCAACCTTCAGCACGTCCCTATTTCTCTTTTCTCATCCATAAAATGGGAATCAGTGTAGCTCTGATCTTATGCAACCCTTCAAGGAACATAAGATTCTCAGTCCTATAATTCCACATGATCCCTCAATAAAATCACCAATACCAAAACCAGGATACGAGTTCATCCTCTGGGCTCCTCGGAGGGGGAACGATGAGGGGAGGTGACAGCATAAGAATCCAAATAAGCAGGCGGCAGCCGAGGAGGCTGTTAACCCCCGGGAGCCCTGAAAGGCCCTCTGACCTCCCAAAAGGGATGAGCGGGCTCTAAGCAACAACCCCTCTCCCTCCGGAACTTCCCCCGCAGGACACAGATTAGCAGTCAGAGGACACCAACCCATTATCTCCACCCGCACCCCCATCAGTGCTCCCCGCGCCCCGGCCACTGCCCTGCCGATAGACCTTCTGCGTGTCCTGGATTTCATGACATGGGCCCGGGAAGCGAGAGACGGTGGGAGCTACTTCTCACCCAGATGGGCTGGGGTTTAGATGCTATAGTGTTCGTTTCCCTTCTTATGTGGAAAACAGCCTATCTCCAGGGCAACCTAAACCCCAGCCTACGTCATCTCCAGGAGTTGTTACACTGCAAACCTGCACGTGGATTCTCATCTCTGTGCAGAGATGGCCTTCCCGGTGCCACCTTTTCAAGACTACTTCCAAAATATTAGCAGGCCCACATGGATCCCAGCTCTGCGACGCTCTAACCAAGTGTCTTTGAGAAAATTACAATCGTCGCTGCCTCTTCACCTATACGTCAAGGAGGCTGGACTACACGGGATAAGCTCTCCTGCAGATGTAGCAGCCTGTGTCCCATACTGGTGGCGACAGAACCAAAAATACCACACATACATTTGGCCACACAAGGGAGCACGTATCTCAGCAAAGCCTACTTCTGGAGAGTTCCCACTGCAGAAACCGGGGGGCAGGACTACAAGACAGGTAAGGCTCCCAAATAAAAGGCTTTCAGATGCACCTACCTTTCCCGCATCTACTAGTTCTGCAATTTCATCTAGATGTAGACCACTGGCCATGAAAAAGGCCCAGCGATAATGGACTCCTTGCCAGAAATGCTGAAAAGAAAACAAAACATGTCAACTATAAGGGATAAAATCTGACATTATGAAAATTTAGAGAAAGGCATTTTTGGACCTCCCACTTCACAGTGACACTAGCACAGTGACTGTGTTGGTTACTCTTCTCTCACTGCTGAGACAAAATACCCGACACCCAAATTTAAGAGGGAAAGGTTCGTTTAGCTCGCGGTTTGTGCAGGGTTCAGTCCACAGTCAGCTGGCTCCAAGGCAGGGTGGTGTGGCAGGGGGCAAACAGTTCATGGCGTGGAAGACAGCAACAGCAACAAAAGCAAAAAGGGAGGAGAGAGAGAGACAAGACTCTCTCCATCCCTTGCATGGTATGCAGGCTGCCCACCCTAGGGCGGGTGTAGCACCCACATCCGTAATCCCAGCACTAGACAATGAATCAGTCACAAGCTCTAGATTCAGCTGCCTCCCTAAACCCACCCCCCCGCCACCATGACTGTATGAAACTTGGGGGGACATCCAGACACAAACCGTAACAGCTACGAACAGCAAATGCTCCACAATGTTTAAGAAACGAACGAATAAACAAAGATATACCCATGTCAACTCAGGCCTCTTCTCCCAGCTGTACCCAACCAACAAGTAAGGAGGGAAATGCTCTTTAAAGGACACGCTTACACAATGGACTGTTTTCTGAGGAGGAATTAGGGCTGAGGCCTCCAGGCATTCCCTGCTAAGGTTTGAAAAAAGCCTAAAGACATCTGGGGGGCGGGGACCAGGTGAACACAGGACCTTGCACTTGCCAGGCAGGTGCTGTGCTGCTGAGCTATATCCGTTCCCCACAACAAAAAAGAACTTTTTACCAAATTCAAAAATGCTTCAAGGGACAAAAAGGTACCAAATATGATCTTAGAAACCCAATCACTGATTTTTTTTTTCCTGGCTGTAACAGGACTAGGCAGCTTAAAGGCAAAACAAAGTACGAAGTTCCTTAGACATCATGACTGGGTCTTTCTCTATAGGTACAGCAAGCACCAAGCCATCCAGTCTATGAGGTGAAACTTCTCTAGACCAGAACGAGCAAAAATCTTACAGCAACAGGGTTTGACTCAGACGCCACCCTCACTTGTGACTGCTACGCTTCACGAGGTGCATTACCGCAACAGCGTGTGAGCTGAGGTTCTCTGATAGCTCAGTGCCCTGCCCAGCCACGCAATCACTAGGTGAGCTCAGACTACTTTCCCACTGAGCTTGGCCCAGGCCTGCGGCACCTCAGCCTGCCTAAGTTACCGCCCAGCGTGAAGCTGCTAAGTGCACTCAGCTCCTCAGGCCCTCGCCCAGGCACTGGCGGCTGTGCTACTCCAGCGCGCGAGCACCACGTCCCCAGCCCACAGAGCGCTGTCACCACCCCTCTCGGGGCAGGCTCGGGGGAGGGGGGATTAATCAACAATGGACATCAATGCCACGGCCAGAAGTAAGGGTTATTGAGGAAAGACTGGAACAGTACGAAATCAGACTCTCAGAATATAAAAAGAGCACAGGTCGGCCTGCGGCCGGGGCAAAGCCTCCCAACAAGGCGCGCCGGGTGTGGCTTACTGGGTGCACGGCCACATAGTGTATTTTCCAGCCAGCCAGGAAAACTGTGAGGGATGAGTGTCACCGTTAACATCGGCCCCAGGACAACAGGGAGAAGCAGTCCGGCTTACTGTGGGAGAGGCGAGGAGATGCTGATTCCCGTCAGCCCTCAGGGTAGCAGGGCAGGGCCTGCGCGGGCAGAAATCTCAAGGTAAGTTACTCTCGCCCTGAGCAGCCTCAATGTGCTGTTCAAAGACTACTGTATCTGTGTGTCCCGGCATAAAAGAGGCTGGGAGGCACCGGTCTAGACATTCTATTTTTGACACTGGGTCTCACTACGTAGCTCAGGCTGGCCTCAAACTCATGGCGATCCGCCTGCCTCAGCCTGCCTCAGTGCCGGGATTACAGGTGTGCCCCACCATACTCGGCTGGTCTAGACTTTAAAAAAAAAACCAGTGCTGTCTGAATGCTTATGTGACCGGCTACTGGCAGCACTGAGACTGTCCCTAGCTTACCGTGCACCCTGTCAGTGACAGTCACTGAAGACCTGCTCGCGTCCTCCTCCCTAAGGTTTGGTCACAGGGACCACAATTAAGACAGTCAGGGAGCTGCGCAGGGTATTGAAGAAGGAACAGAAATGGTCACAATTGCTACATGTGTAATTCTTCATGGCTTTTTTTTTTTACAGCACATTACTCTGCAAACTAAAACTCTTCATCTGCAATAGCAGAGTTTTTATATTTCGCCCTAAGAGTCTGTGTGTTTTTTCCTGGGCCGTCACGGGAGAGACAACAAAGCAAAGCAGGCAGGAGAGCCGGAAGCCTGACGGCTTTACCTGCGCACACCTCAGAAAGGCAGTGGACAGCGCCTAAAAGGTTCCCCACGAGATCACCACTGCCCGCTTCCAACGGGGAAAGGACAGGAGGGCGCTGGGCCCTTCGCACTCACAGAGGACAGCTCTGCAGGCCTGACCCGTACGAGGGCTCACTGCACCATGAGGTGTGAAATCTTATGGGGAACGTAAACGTGCACTTTAGGCACAGGAAAAGTCAAAGGTTTTGTGAAAAGAAGAGACGAAGGAGACCTAAGCTCTCTCTGCCGCAGCGCACCCTGCCTCCGGCTGCTACCTGCATGGAGAAAAGAGACAGCAGGCCGCAAGCTTAGTTTGTTCACTGCTCCTCCTCGGACTTGTTTCCCGTGATCTATGTCGTGGGCTTCATTGCTACTCTAAGGACTGAGTTAAGGTTCAGAATTTAAGAAACCAAAGTCCTAAATTTCTCCTTCCCCCCACCAGCCCCCAGTTAACCTCTAGCATGAAGCAGCAGCTTCGGCTGAGGTGTAGCTCCGCGTAGAGCGCTTGCCCACACGGGGAAGGCACTGGGTTCCATCCTCGCACTGCACAAATACCGACGGCGGCTAACGCGTCCACCCAGCCCATCACCCCACCAACACGGTCACAGCTGCCAGGCCGAGTGACCGACGACCTCTTATCACTAAGAAATTTCCTACTGCTTCTTTCCGAGTGCTGCGTATTTTATCTAAAAAAAAACAAAAACAAAAAAAAACATAATTTATCTTCTTTCCTAACACGTACTCCATTTCGGCACTAATTCAGTGATCTATAATTACCGATGGTTTCTAACCTGAAATTACACAATCCTCTGTCTCCACTGCCATGGCGGCAGGCTGTGGCATTAAGTGGCCAGTGGATGAGCAAGCTCTGCTGTCAGTGCCAAACCTGAGGCTGATCAGCACCCGACTCCACTCACTGGGTAAGTTCAGGTTGGGTGACAGCTCCATGGGGCCCTGGTCACAGCGGCTCATCAGTAGCTAGGGTTTCTCAACTATAGGGGACATACAGTGCCAGGATGCGCTGATATAATCTGGGTAAAGGCATGACGGCTCTACTTGGCCTGCTAGCCGCAAAGTAAGAGTACACATTTGTTCAGGTTTTTGAAATTCAATGAAATGGCCAAGGCCTGTAAAGGTCTGCAAGCCCCTGCCTGGGAATTACTGTGGTATCCCACAGGAAAACAGTAGCTGTTCGCTGTTTTAATGAAGTTTCCATTTTACATACGAGAAATTACGTATGTTAATCCTGGAGCGACAAGAGAAGGCCACTACATACAGGCAGGAAGGAAGCAGACGAGGTGCCAGATGGACTCAAGGGAGGTAACAACTAATTAGGAAGCTAACATTTAATAAGAGCTTTTTATGGATGAGGCATTCTGCCACATTCACAGAGATTACCTAATTTAACCCTTCCAACAACGCATACGATAGGTGAATTGACTTCATTTCACAGGCAAGGGCACTGGGCTTAGATAAGGTAGGTGAATTAATTGGTTTTTGTTTTTTTTGAGACAGGGTCTTGCCAGGCTGGCCTCAAACTTGTGGCGATCCTCCTGCCTCAGCCTCTCAAGTGCTGGGATTACAGGCATGTGCCACTATGCCTGGAGCAGGTATGTGACTTATTAACTTCATTTTATAGGTGAAGATGCTGGGCTTAGAGAGGCTAGGTAACTTAGAGGGTCACACAGCTAACTCAGTCCGGTCAAATTTGAACCCAGTCAGTGCAACTCCCAGAACGCATGCTGGCAGCGATATGCCATGCTGCCCCCAAGAGAAAAGAAAGTGGCGGGGTCCCCGCCTCTAGCAGCAGGGGCCCGCTTGCTCTGACCAGCTGAGATGCTCCTCCTTACCTTCAGCGCCTTGCTGCCCACAGTGAACCCGGTCTGCAGCATGCCGTCTGCGATGCCCAGGCGGTCCATGTTCAGGAGGAAGGGTGTCACCAGCGTCACATAGGTGGCTCCCGACCATTTCTTAAGAAAATTTAGAGCCCATGTTTCCGTGGATCCGCCAACATTATCAAGGATAAAATCAAACCTGGAGGGAGAAGCAATGGCAATATCCGTGTCAGCCGCCCCTCTTCACCGCCACGGCCAGGCGGCCCTGGGTTTACTTCTGCGACAGCACATGATGCACTGGTAGCAGCACCCAGCCAAGGGCTGGTGGTTTGAAGGGCATCACTCCCCTGCATCCTCTGCAGCTCTTCTCCAAGGTAAATCCAATGTCACTGGCTTTTTGGTGGTAAAAATCGTATTTTTAATACTTTTAGAATGACCTAACCAAAATAAATAAATAAATAAATAAAAATGACCTAACCAAGTGACTCTCAACTAGAGGTGATTTTGGCTCCCTGAATGCGCAGAACAGACTCTCACACCGAACAAATATCCTGCCCAAAATATCAATAGTTGGCAAACTTAAGTTGCCAAGGTTGAGGAATCTCAGCTTGAGCTTTGTAGAAAACTGCAAAGTGATCGATTCAATATAAATCAAAGTGCATATGAAGACTTGGCAAGAAAAAGCACATAAGACTTTCACTCAAAAGGATGAGTGATTTTGTTTCCTCCATTGTCAAAAATACTCGGGAGGAATATCTTCACCTTCTAGAATTTTCTACTTTCTGGTTTCACGTACAGTATCAGCATGATGCATGAAGAGAAATCAACACCAGTCGCTCAGTCTTCAGTTCTGCTCTAACAGGGCAAGGAATGAACCCTATGGAATCCACAGGAAGTGATGGAGACGCAAGTCCTTAAATGTAACCTAAAAACTGCTGTAATCACTATACTCCACTTCGAAGAGATAAAAACCCACTAAAGCTTTTAAATACTTTAGAAAAAAAGAATCTATTTAAACAAAGCATTGTGTAAATGAAGTAAATCAGCTGAATTCCTTTTGAGTAAACCTTTTTGCCTTTCAAATTCAGCTTGGTGAAGTCAAACATCAAAGTTTCTACAGCCAGCTTTGGCCAATTTCATGGTCTCCTATAGGATTAAACTAATGAAAGACAAAAATCAAAGGATCTGAAATGCAGAAGAATGGCCTTACTAGGTAATTGCTCCTCTCATTGGAATAGTTTCTACTTCCCTCCCAAGTTCTGAATAAACAAACATGAGGAGGCCTAGAACTTCAGGGCAGCTGGTGTTACAGAACAGGCCCTGTCTGAGAAGTCTGGAGATCAAGTTGTAGACTCAACTCTTCCACTAACGATCAATGGCGTGGCTCTGAGCATGCAAAAAGTTACTAAGTCCTCTGCCCCTCCTTTTCTCAACTACAGTATGACAGGGGCCGACTAAAGGATTTCCAAGTTCCTTCTTGCTGTAAAAGTTCAAACACTGAAAAAGCTGACGCTTGGAAGAAGAAATAAATTTATTGTTGATAGACTCAAACTCTAGGAGAAGTTATAAAAAATCAATTTTAACAAAAGCTGTGACAAAGGAAGAGGAGGAAGAAGAGGAAAATGAGAAGAGGCGGTGGCAGTGGACGGTGCTGTATTTCTAAGGCAGTGAGACGCCCTTCCTGGAAAAGCACAAGCAAGGGGGCGGCAGCACCTGGGCAATGCCCAGGAGAACCTCGGCACCGGGCTGAGGCCGGACTGAGTGTCTTCTGACCTTCCACCTGTCAGGCTCTCCTGTTCACTGGAAACGAACTCCGGACACACGCAGTGCTGAAGCAGAGAGAGCGGGTGGGCAGCCTTTGCTTCCAGAAGCCAGGACACCTGTTCTGTTCCCATTTCCTAGGAATCCACAGAGGCTGCTGAGGCCCTGACACCAGACAGGAAGGTCGCCGTGAGTTCTCACTCAGGCCAAGCATGTTTCTGAAGCAGGGGCTTTATATTTGCTGTTAGTGTTATCCACTCAGAGTAACTTTCCCTATATACGCTCAGTAATTAATTAAATAGTACTGAACACCTACTATGCGCCATACACTATGGTACCAAGTGGAGGGGTGTAACGGAACAAGAAAAGCAAAATTCTTGTTCACCACCGTCTCTCTGCCAACACTGAATACTCAGACCGGCACTCTTCGGTCATCCACCAAGACAATCTCCTCTTCAACCAGTTACGGCCCTCCTTCCCGCAGAAATTTTCCCCAGAGCACTAACCACCGAGACTTTCCAACCAGAACAGAAAACTGAGAAGAGGGGGTGTGTCTCGATCCCCACTGCAGCCCGGCTGTGGAGGTCCCAGCAGAGAGGACAGTGATTCCTCGGGAGCTGCACACCGCTGCTGCAGCTGGTGGTGTCAGAGGAGACAGCTGAGAAAGCTAGGCGGGGCCAGACAGGGGCTCCCCCTCTTTTCTTTCTTTAATCTATGAAAATACATTACTCGATGTGAGCAAGAATAATAGGTTTCTGAAAACTAATCAAAAAAAGAAAAACCTTTGAAAGAGTAGCAGTAAAATAGCTTTAAGTACTGTTCAGTTGTATTCTCGGCTTCAGTTTTGTCTTGGCTAATGAAGATCAGATTAATAAACAGGAGGCAGGGTGACAACAACAGGGCAGGAGAGAATTCCTAATCCGTCCCTGTTTGTATCTCTGGCACAACCATGGCCCAACATTCAGACGCGCTGAGGACATCCAGAGCTCCGCTCCCAGTAGCTACGTAGTGAGCCAGAACTCCAAGTGTGCTTCTTGCTAGGCAGGTATTTTCATGCACTATTTTATACTCTTCCTATGGTAACCAAAGGGAATGAACTTCCAATTTTCCTTCAGACCTCTTAGAAGCCAGCAATAAAAATACATTAACTTAAAATTAGCAAAAGGCCACGTAAACAAACTTTTTCAGCACATATCATGTTACATTACTGTACCCTATTAACCTCAGAGATTAGAATGGAACCCAATCTAAATGGCTTGTAGTGACAGATTACAACATGACCATAAGGTCATCAAACCATCTCACACTTGCATTATCAACTGTCCTTGTGCCCACCTTCCCAATGGGAACACATTCTAATACGTACGGTTTTAAGGATTTTAGCTGTTCCTCTACACTTCCGGATTTGTAATCAATTACATCATCTGCCCCAAGCTTCCTTACAAGCTCACTGGCATCTTTAGAGCAAACTGCCGTCACGTGAGCATCCCATGCTTTCATCACCTGTTAGAACAAAAAAAGGAAGGGGAAAGTAGAAAAACTGCTTAAAAACAAAGCTGACACCATGTGTACACATATCGGACTAATCACTAGAGAACTTACGTACCTCGTCTTAATAAGAACCACAGGAAGCCATCTGACTAGTAAAAATGATAAAATAAAAAGGAAAGCTAAATTCTTTGGTTTGGATTGGTTTTTTTTGGGTTTTTTTTTCCAGTACCAGGAATTGAACTCACAACCTCATACTTGCCAGGCAGGTGCTGTGCCGCTGAGCTAAATCCCCAGCCCCTAGGAAAACTAAATTCTAATGTGATTCTGGATTATGAATGAGGAAAGCATCCTGTTCCATAAGTGCTACAATTCTTTTCTATAATATCAATTTAATAGATTTCTAATGAACTCTTTTTAATGAACATGACCAAGCACTAATTACTGGCGAAGGCACAGGTTAAGAACTAAGCAATGGTTCTCTCAACTCCTGGACACATACGCTGTTATTTTATGTATTTATGCATTGAGGTGGTGCTGTGGTGGGAACCTGGGGCCTCACACATGCAAAGCAAGCGCTGTCCCGCTGAGCCACACCTCCAACTTCATACAATTAAAGGGGACCATTTTCAGCTTAATTTGAAAATAGCTAATTAAGTTCACTGAGAAATTTGTGTACTGACAGTTACAGGTCATAACACATCAGCCGTCTTCGCAACCCTGTCCTCCATATCAATTTCTTGAACTTCCTGCAGGAAGCTGCAAAGGTTTCCTGGACTATAAGGGGTCTGTGTTTTGCTCAGGGTGAATCCCCACATCAGAGCAGGCAAAGGTGCTAAAACACCTAGTAAGTACAAAAAATATAAGCTTTGAAACCCATTCATAAGCTTACCTAACTTCTCACTTTTTATCCTAAAAAGCAATATTGGCCAAGAGTTTGTATATCCTGCGAATCTGAGGAGAATTAAAACATCTACAAGAGACGTCATGTAGGATTTATTTTGCTTACAAGCTGCAAACAGAGACACTTCAGGAAAATAATATGGTGCACAATTCCCAAATCAAATTCAAACATAATCCAACACAAACAGCTTGTTGTGACCATCCTTTTTCTATTATCTATATAAGAAGTGGTTAAGGAAAAAGAAAATTACATGCTGAATACCTACATTTAATGTGTTTTTCTTTAAAGGCTAAGGAAGAATGTCACATGTTTAAACAGTTTAGTTAGGTTTTTGTCCAAATTCTAATCTGTCCTTCCCCGCTTGGAACTACAGTATCTAATACCTTTGAATGTTATTAAAAGGTTTAGTTTTTTTTTTTTTTCTGTAAAGTAAAACATACATATAGAAAACACCTAGAAGGCAGATACTATCCAGATAAAGAAAATGCCAGCAGCCATTCCAAAGATCTTTGTGCTCTAACACAAGTGCCTCCCTCACAAGCCATTATTATCTTAATTTTTATAGTAATCGCTTCCTTGGGTTTAAAAAGGGTTACCACTCAAATATGCATTCCCTAGGCACTGTAGTTTAGTCTTACATATTTTAATGTGTTTTCTTTTCAGTTAAGTTATAGGCTCTTCTTCTAGCCCTTTTTGTAAGACTTTATAATAATCCATTCTTATAATAATTTATCTGTGGAAAAATTTAAACCATTTGACCAACCTACTGAGTTCCCAACAGTGATGGCAAACCTGTTAGAACTGTCATGATAACAAACAGCCAGCTGCAGCATGTGTGCCATAGGTTTGCCACTAGTCTAGGACTTCTGATTACACGCTCACAATAGTTTTGCATGTTGCTCTGTCTTCTGTATGTTCTGCAACTTGGCAGATCTAGACATTGGGTCAGACTGTGGTTTACTTCCTTTAGTAAAACCATGATGATGGTCAGGTGAAACTGGAGAAAGCACATCATGTCATGTCTGGTTGTTATGCTTTTTATAATCTTAGGAGCTATCAATGTTCAATATCTGTATCTGTTTATTGGTGATGGCAAAATACTGACGTTCTAATCCTACTCTATTTCACTTAGTAACTGGAGTACTTTCATAAACACTTCCCTGGTTTCTCATCCTCCCACCAACTCAACCCTAGGAATCATCCCCCTATTTAACAGGGGAAGATAGTGGAGTGGTGAACAGCAGAGAAAGAGCCTTTCAGAGACTTGGTGTCCAGACACTGGAATTCAGCATTGTGAGGAAGAAAAGGAGACAAGTGGGTCTCTGGGACCCGGCAAGTATCTGAGGTGAGAATTAAGGCTCACAGAGAGAGTGAAGAAACTTCAACAAAGAAGGAGGTGGTGGCAAGCAGCACTTTCTCACTGAGCCCTGACTGTGTGAGAGGCAGCTCGAACCTGCAGATGCAAGATGACTGCTGGTGACTCCAGAGGCATCCATGGAGAATCATACCAGCAGAACGGAGCAGTAAATGCAGCACACTGTAGTGGCTAGTGAGTTACTTGGGATTCAGATGTTCCTGAGGAGAGAGTGATTGGCTGGTAACCATCTTGGAGAGGGGCCAGCTGAGCTCAGAACTCAGAGTACTACTGGCTGGCTCCATCCAGTGCCTCCTAGTGTCAGGGTGAGGCGGAACAGGATCAAGCAGCTGACTTCAAGCTAGCAGGAGATGCACCAATTGTTACCGGGTGAACAAATCAGGTTCCAGCTTCACAGCCAGAAACCAGCCTAAACCTCAGTGAAACTAAAGGTGCAGGATTGCTGGCATCATCCACTACTCCATCATAAATCTACACCTAGCTTGTTGGGATTTGGGATTAAACAACCAGGATATGGACTCTGTCTGCCCATGATGTCTACCAGTGACAGCAGAGACACACATTGAAGTGGACAATTTTTTATTATTTACTCCTTTTGGTTTTTTTCTTGTTTTTGTGTTTCTTTTTCTTGACTGCTCTTGTTTTTATATGAGTGTGAGCACTGTTTCTAGTTTTTTTGTTGTTCTGTTCTTGTTTTTAGTTCTTCTGTCTTTCCCTCCTGTCTTCCTCACCAGTTTCCCAAAGTTTGTGTAATTTTCCTTTGTCCTCCAACCCTGCTTCTAATCTCCTCTTCTTCTCTTTCTCTATTTTTTGCCCAACTCCTTTTAAATTTTCTCCTTTGAGGGTAAAACTGCCATACTGGGGTATGTTTACTATATATAATTTTCTGGTTTGTTTCATATTTTCCTATATAACCACAAATCTAATTCCTATGGTTAAAGGGTAGCAATTAATACTTACTATGGTTTGTCATATTCTAGGCTGTGTTTGATGCTATTGTTATTAGTGATTGTACTACTTTACCAAAGGTGACATAATTGTTCTAATCAGTTGTTCTTCTTGGTATGCCAAGAGTGAAATTGGCCAAAGGTCATAAAAAGTATACAGGCCAGTGCCAAAGAACCAGGGGGTAGGTCAAATGGGCAGCAACTTCTCTTCCTCAATAAATTGAAGAGACTTTAAATAGACGCAAAACCCAAAAGCCAGCTATACCTGGAAGACATCTCTGTGAAGTAATCATTTCCTAAGGGTTCTAAGACTAGCAATACAACTTGTTGCCATAAGCAATTTATAAGCACCAACCCAGGAATTAAACTAAAAAAAAGAAAAAAATAGAAAGTGAAATGACACTTAAGCAAGATGCAATTCCAGACTTCCAGCTCACCAATGGCAAACCCAGGGAGCAATGACATGGAATAATTCTAAAACCACACATTTGAACTCTCTGAACTACTAACAGCAGAAGTAATAAAGCAGATGAATAAGGCTCTAGGACAAAAAATCAAATCAGAAATAATTTCTCAGATAACACAGAGATGGTGACCATAATAAAAGACATACTTAGTGAATGTACAGCAGAATCAGATAAAAAAAAATAGAAGACCTAAGGAAAATTATGGAAAACATGAATGCCCAACATAGGAAGAAACAGAATCCATGAAACAGATTCAAACATATATCCAAGAGATTAAAAATCCCATTGAAAGAATATGCAGCAGAATGAGCCAATGTGAGGACAGAACATTAGATCTAGAAGACAGGATTGAGGTTAGCAATCACAAAAAGATTCCTTTAAAATAGCAATGGACCACAAAGTATCAATCCAACAGCTGCTAGATGATGTAAAGAACAACAACATAAATCTCGTAAAACTGAGTCAATGAAAAAGCAGAAGATAACACAAACAACATAAAAAACCTCTTCACAGAAGTAATGGCAGAAAAATTCCCAGGCAGGGAAAAGGAATTTAATATACAGCTAAGTGATACATACAGAACTCCAATTAGCCATGATAAAAAAAAATCTACAAGGCATGTAATAGTCAAGATTCCAGAAATTCAACACAAGAACAGAATATTAAAAGCTATTAAAGAAATAAAACCCCTATAAAAGAATGCCTATCAAAATCACAGCAGACTTCTCAACACAAACCCTCAAGTCAAAGAGAGCTTGAAGTATTTCAAGCCCCAAAGAAAACAAAGTATCCCACAAAACTATCTTTCAAAACTGATGGAGAAGTAAGATATGACAAAGAACACCTGAAGAAATTCATGACCACCATACTCCAAAATGTTCTGAAGGACATTTTTGAAAGAGACAATGAGAACTACAACTCCATAAACTCCAGCAGAATGAATCCACCAGGCAAGGCAAGCAATTAAATGGGAAAACTAGAGAATCAACAGGAAAAAAACATGGTGAGTCCATATATATATATATTTATGTATATATATATATTTATATCTATCAGTTATAACCATCAATGTTAATGATTCCAATTCATTAATCAAAAGAAACAGACTGGCAGAATGGATCGAAAAGCAAGATCCAACAATATGCTACATATAAGGAATATATTTAATTCAGAAAGAAATTCATGGACTGAAAAGGATATTTCCATCAAAGGATGGAAAACGATATTCTATGTGACAAGAACCTGAAAGAAAGAAGGGATAGCTATTCTATTTGCAGACAAAGTGGATTTCAAGCCAAGACTGATTAAGAGAGACAAACAAG